CCTCCTCCAAAGGGGAGGGGGTAGCCGGCAGCCTACCACCTCAGTTCTTGAACTGATGTGCTGGCGGTTTGACGTCACCTCTGTCATCAAATTCCTGTTCTGGATTTTAGCTGTATGTGGATGTTCCGGCTGTGTGTGTGTATGTGGGGGGGGGGGGGGGGGGCACGGCGGTCTGGTGTCTTAGTGTAGAGGAGCTACATGTACCTAGGGTTCCCTTCTCTAGGTGCTCCGTAAGTACTACCCATGCATGTCAGGGTTAAATTCCCTGGGGCATTCGGGAATCACCACCCATTGAGGACTTCTTCGCTTGAGGTTGTCTTCACCCCTGGGGTGCGATGGGGGTTTTGGGTTTTTTCCATCTTATCCCGGGTAGGGGAGTGTTTGTGGCTGGTAGGTCTATGCGGCTGGCGCAGCTTGCTTTATTGCAGCGGCCGATGTTTCTCTCCGACTGCTAGTTTGCTAGTTGTCTGTTTTCCGTGGTTTATTTTTCATTTTCTGGCATTTTTGCATGTGTGGACAGAGGTGGTCTGCTTAGCCACTTATTAGGCACACCTAGGTTGTGGTGGTGTTCTCTGTTGCCTCTGAGCTTTCATGTCTGTAGTCGTTTTGCCTGCTATAGACAGGGTTGTACTGGCTTAGCTGACCCCAGTGCCTGGGCTTCCCGAAGGACTTGTATTCCCTTCGGGCCCTAGAAATTCCCTGTGGGCTTAAGTCAACCATGGATACGTCTTCAGAGTCCACTCGCCCCTGGTGGGAAGTTGAAGGTTGTTTGGGAACCCCCCCTGCCTCTGGGTGATGATTATGCATACTGTCTCCGTCATGCTACCTGTTGGATCGCAGACACCAACAATCCGGAGTCCTGCGGGACTTGTTCCCCGCTTGTGCTTCAACTTACTCATCCCTTGTCTGATGATCTCAGAGATCAAGCAGCGGCTCCGTTGCATTATTGATTCTCCTTATTGCAATGGGCCAGGTTGGTTGCCGGGTTGGAGGCCCTGAAGCTGTCCCGCTTGGGTTTTAGGGACTCTGATTTGGTGGCGTCGGTCGCTTCGGCCTTGTTTGTCCTTGCCCCTTCTTCCCAGGTGGGTGTTGTTCACCCTGCTCCTCCTTCCCTCCATGCTTCCATCTCCCTAACGTCTGAGGGTTTCGGAGTCGGGGCGGGGTTTAGCTCAGGATGAGGCTTGGGTGGCTTCGGGGGCTGCCCCTTCTGGTTGAGCCTGATTTTCTCGTTGGGGATTCTGGGTCGTCCCAGTAGACTCTTTTTCTTGGAAGCCTTTCTCCCTTGACTCCGCCTTTTCTTCAAGGTTGGTGGGCATGGATGAGGGCTCTTTCCCAGGGCCTATATCGGGGGTTCCCGGGGCTTGAGGGGGAATCCGTGTGGAGCTATTGGGCTCCTTTTGATTCTGCTTGAGCCCTTGTGCCCTCTGGACAGAGGTTGTTGCTACTGGGGAGGGAGTTTTCGTGCCTGCCTTCCCTTTATGAATTTGAGTTGGGTGCAACTCCCACCCGGGTTCGTTTCTGGGTATCCTTGGGTTTCTCGGATTCGTCATTCTGGAGGTTTCCTTCCTCTCGGATTTTCCTTTGGGAGGTTCGGGAGGCCTTTGGTGCATACCTCCTGTGAAACCTGGTGTACACCTCTGTGATGGATCTGGCTTTGTGTTCAGTTCTTCTTCTCCGTATTGGGTGCGTTATGAGGTTGCACAGTCTTCCTGGCTGGCAGACTGCTTATCTTCTTCCTTGGGGGTTGGTGTGACTTTTGTCGTACCAGCACGCTTGAGTGGCATGAGGTTTCTTCGGTGTTCTTGGGGAGGCTTGCTCGAGTTCCTCAATGAGTGCCTCTTCACCCCTGCGCTTCCTTATGATGTGGATGTGGTACAGTTGCATGCTCAGGTTCCCACTCTTTCGGCTGTCTTGGCAGCTGATGGCCACCTTCGGCTTCATAGGGGGAATAGCGCTAATGAGCGGGAGGGCTAGTTGCATGAAGTGTTACTCGTCTTCTTTATGGGGAAGTTCCTTTGCTCTTTCAGGACGTAGGTCGCAATTTTCACCAAACTGTGATCTGTTTTGTTTCGCCTATCGTTCTGGGAGCCTTCCCTGTGTGATGGCAATTATGACATACTTTAAATGTAAAGTGCTCATAAGCCATTGCTCTCAGCGGCAATATGAAGTTCCTTGGCGGTCTTTCCGCCATTTCCTTTCCCTTCGTAGGGTTTCGTCTGTGGAGGTTACAGTTGTCTTGTCCTTTCTCCCTTGGCTTATGGAAGAAAGAAGGAAGAAAAGATATGGCAGAAAATGCAGAATAGAACCAGTGAAGAGCTGGGGTGCCATAGGCTCAATCAGAGAACACTGTATAAACATCAGAGGTCCATGGTTGTTCAACATCCTCCCAGCGAGTATAAGAAATATTGCCGGAACAACTGTGGACATCTTCAAGAGAGAACTAGATCATTTTCTCATAGGAGTGCTGGACCAACTGGGATGTGTTGGATATGTGGGCCTGCGGGCCGCTCCAAGCAATAGCCTAGTGGACCAAACTCACAAATCAAGCCTGGCCTTTGGTCGGACTTGGGGAGTCCACAGTTGTTCAACGTCCTCCCAGCGACTATAAGAAATATTGCCGGAACAACCGTGGACATCTTCAAGAGAAAACTGGACTGTTTTCTAAGAGATGTTCTGGATCAGCCGGGCTGTGGTGGGTATGTGGGCTTGCGGGCCACTCCAAGCAACAGCCTGGTGGACCAAACTCTAACAAGTCGAGCCTGTCCTCGGGCCGGACTTGGCGAGTAGAAGAACTCCCAGAACCCCATCAAGCAGTAGAAGAACTCCTAGAACCCTATGAAGCAGGTACCTCTAAGGAAGCCAGGTGTTCTGGCTTGTGGTCCCCGGTAGGCATAAGGACTCCTGTGACTGGTGATCCCAAACTAATATAGCACATACCAATTCGGATCACTTCAGGGAGCCTCTGGGGCTTGCCCAGAAAATGGCGTTTCATTACATTCAAAGCTGTTTTTTTTCCCTCGTGATCAGAGAACTTATTTGAAACAATTCAGTATAAGAAGAAAAACTATTTGGGGGAATAATTTGTTTTCTATGCACCTAGGGCTTATCATACTTTATACCTACTCAATGCAGTGGTTAAACAGAATGTATTTTTCAGAAATATGGTGTTCCTACCCAGGAGGGTGAAGGCATGTGCAAAGATCAAGAATTATTCTTGGAGCAGTTGTTTGGGCCAGCCTCGACTCGTCCAGCTGACTGTGGGAATCCCATCACACCCCCGCCATGGCATGACAAAGCCAAAATCAGAAGGTTGGTGTAACTTTATTAATCTCTGCAGTGTGCATAGTGCTTTAAGGCAATGTAAGGAATCTGATGATAATTGCTGTGTTCAAAGTAATAATAGCAACATACGTAGTATATTGTTGGGTATTTTGCTGCATCGGGTGACATAAGCTGCTATAAGCTGGTTGTAATGTGCATCTTTATACTGTGTTAACACTATGTGCTAGTAACGACGCAGTATTGTGTGTTAAATTTAGTAGCCAAAATTCCAGTATCGACTCAGTATTGTGTCGTTGGCGGCGGCTTCGGTTGGGGGCGCGCCGCGGTTTTGGACATTATATGCATATACTCCTGTTGGGAATTTCATTACAAATACATTGATACCAAAATGAAATATCTAGGACCAGAATTAAGGTAACAAAAGTTGAAAAGAGTATACCCATTTTATTGCTCCTGATGAGCGCTCACTGGGGTAACGCTCCGTCACTTTCTCTGTTTGCTGTGGGTGGTACGTCGGGCTTTTGGACTTTATATTTGCACATACTCCTGTAGGGAATTCTATTGCGAACACAATACCAAAATGAAAGACGTAGGATGAGAATTGAAATGTCCAAAGTGAAGAGAGTGTACACATTTTATTGCTCTTGTGTGCTCCCGGGTAATGCGCGCTCACTTTTTCGCCTGACTTTTGGGCTTGATATGCATTTAGTCCTGTACAGAATTTAATTGCGAACACATTGATACCAAATTGAAAAACCTAGGACGAGAATTGAGGTGACAAATTTGAAGAGTACAGTACAACCTCGATTCAACGTACTATATGGGACCAACCCCAGTTTGTTGGAGCGTTGGATTCATTGCAAGAGGTGACCTTCAGGAGGTGTTTGTGTCAGTGTCTTTTTTTTTTTCTTGTACACAATAAAAATGCATTATCATATTACATACTGTACCTATATATTACTTCTCTACTAAAAAATACTGTAATTCATAAATTTACCTTATTGTTGGAGTTATGTCCATCTTGAAGTTTTGTGAAGTTGTGAATGCTCTACAGTAAATACGTACTGCAGTGCATTATGCTGTTAGCACTGTGTTGATTAAAAGTAGTTCTGCTGTATGTTGAGTACTACAATACAGTTTATGAAAACTATTGTACACTAAAATTACTGCAACTTTAATTTTAACACTGTGTACACACTTAAATTTAACACTTGTTCTAACTGTTCACGCCACACATGATGTTTTTAGATGTTTGCATCAGCTTTGCTGGTGCTCGCTGCTGCTGTGGGTTCAGCTGCTTCTGAGCTGGTGCTGGCTGCTGTTGTACCAGTGCTGGGTGCAACTGTGCTCGTGCTGGGTACAGCTGTTGTACCAGTGCTGGGTACAACTATGCTCGTGCTGGGTACGGCTGTTGTACCAGTGCTGGGTTCGGCTGTTCTCGTGCTTGGTATGGCTGTTCTCGTGCTGGGTACGGTTGTTCTCGTGCTGGGTACGGTTGTTCTCGTGCTGGGTACGGTTGTTCTCGTGCTGGGTACGGTTGTTCTCGTGCTGGGTACGGCTGTTCTCGTGCTTGGTACGGCTGTTCTCGTGCTGGGTACGGCTGTGCTTGTGCGGGTTGATTTTCTGCTACTAGTTCTTGCAAAATATTGCTTCATTTTTGGCATTAATAAGGCACTATTAGTAAGCCCCTGAGACATTTTGTTTTATAACCAAAGAGCTGTAGTAAAAAAATGGTCGATTCCACAATTATTCTTCCACCGGCGGATAAATACTGTACGTTAATCGCAGACAAAGCTAAAGGCACTGGGTGTATACGAACGCAGACTAAGTCTATACGTACACCCTTCAGTAGGCTGGTGTTTATGCCAGATCCAGTAACATAAATTTCTCTTAAATATTCGATTTACATCAAATTATATATTTGTGGGTTATACAGTATATTTAGTTTAGCAAAAACTATTACGGTAATAAGAGCTATAAAAAATACTTACTTTGGAACTGATTTATTAATTTTATTTCGAAGTCGTAGATCACTGAACTGTGGTGACGAAATCAAACAAAACAAGCATGGTGTTGTGTGGACAGGGATTAGACCACTCCACTCGTGCTAGAGTTGTGCCACCAATGACGTGAATAATTTCTCAAATAGCAGATATCTATCATATTACAGTATATTTTTGGTTTTATTTAGTTTACTTTAATTAGGATAATAGAGAGTTATTAAAACACCAGTTTTAGAAATGATTTATTAATGTGAAACGTTCAAAGTCATGGGTCACTGAACTATGACAACACAGACGAAAGTGAGTGAAACCTCACTGTAAAGTGAGGTTTACTGTACAGTATTCCCTTATCTGTCCACCCTCACTCATCTTGTTTCATCACAGAAAATGTATATAAGGAGGTGTGCCACAAATCGGTGAACGAAAATCATTGAAACTCAGTCATTCACTTGTGTGGACCATTCTGGCTGGTGTTTGGTTCATATGATTCACTTGTTGCATGGTCCACTTGTGTGGTCCAACTTGTCATATGAAGGAATTATTAATTGTAATCTGTGATAGTATGGGAAAGTATTCCACCACTCTGTGAACTCTGTCCCAACATCGTAAGCTTGTGGACCACTTGTGTGGTCCACTTGTGTGGTCCACTTGTGTGGTCCAACTTGTCTTATGAAGGAATTATTAATTGTAATCTGTGATAGTATGGGAAAGTATTCCACCACTCTGTGAACTCTGTCCCAACATCGTAAGCTTGTGGACCACTTGTGCGGTCCACTTGTGTGGTCCGCTTGTGTGATCGAACTTGTCATATGAAGGAATTAATAATTGTAATCTGTGATAGAATGAGAAAGTTTTCCACCAGTCTGTGAACTCTGTCTCGACATCGTAAGCAAATCCGAACATCCCCCACTTCGGCGAACCATTGTTCGTTGAACTGGGTGAGTAAATCCGGCCTGAAAAGTGTGCGAACTAGCCGGAGATTCGCTGAATCGGGGTACATTGAATCGAGGTTGTACTGTATACACTTTTCAGAATTACTGCGCACTCCCGAGGAACACCCGGACACACCTTGGATAGTGTGGGGTTAGCTCACGCAGAGCACGAAAGTGTTAAGATTTCATTATCCCACACACACTTGAATTGCTTAGTGGAATGTAACGGTTTTAAAAATATAGATTGATGTATGTAAGGTGTGTATATGCAGTAGTGTATTAACAGCAAAATCACTTTCATTGATCTAAGAATGTAATCTACAAAGATTTTTTCAATATGGCCATTGAAATATGTGCAAAATTTAGATCCAAAAATTAACTCCAAAAGTAAAAATGGGTTTATGACTAAAGGAAAGCAAGGAAACCTTATAACTAAGCACTTTGTACATAGGTAAAAATGGTGAGAATTTGGCAAAAACTTTATTTTTGTATCTGTTTCAAAGTTTATTTTTTTTATAAGAGATATTTGAAGTTTTAAGTTATTGACAATAAATATGGTAGTTCTAATAAATGAATTTTCTTGTATGTTTTAATTAACATTGCTTGGCATACGTACCCGAATATGTGAAAGTTGTAGGTCAGTATGTGTTGAAATGAAGTCAAGAAAAAATAACCCCCCAAAAAAACAAAAAATTTAAGGATAGGTTACTGATAAACATGTATATATTGCAGTAACTTTATTGACCATATATTAGTGATAAGCCTCTCATCTGGTCCTCATTCATCAGTACAACTTAAAGAGACAAAGAAAATACAGTAGTTTGAAATCTGAAAATAAATCAGCCCCCCAAAAATAAGTCACAATTTCTGCCACCTTTGGCTGAATAAAATGTTGACAAATTTCGTTCCAACCTCACAGTGCTGGATATGCATTCTCCAGGATGTAGAAGTTACGTGAAAATCCAATTAAACACAAAAGGAAGAAGGGGGAAAAAATATAGAATTGGTTGTCAGCTTTTTGTACAACGGGACATAAGAAATACTGCCATTGGGGCAATGTATTTATGATATATAATAGAATACAGCATAATAATATATTAACTCATTATCATGTGTGAAATCTGGCCCTCCAGGTGGCACCAGCTGCATATCAACTATGTAGACTTTCCTTATTACTAATGTACTTGTTTTGTTTGTGCGTCGGACAGGTGGTTGCATCTCTTTATCCCTGATTGCCAGTAAATAGGTTGTGTTATGGTTATTATCAGTACCAGTTGCCCCTCCAGTCTTCCATGCATTTACAGTATTTAAAAAAATCGTAACAAAATAATTCCTTAACATACTGGGATGAAAATTTCACAATGCTGATGGCAAATAACTGGAGATTTGTTAAAAATTTTTCACTATTTTTCATATTTTGAAAAATACTCTACGTCACTGGGCCCCTTAACTGCGCGGCCTCAAAATATGACACCCCCCAGTGCGCAGGAAATAAAATCTCTGGAATTTTTTTTTTCTGTTTTTAAAGTGTCAAAAACCCTTACCTGAGTATGGGTATAGTAACAGAAGGTCGAAATTGTATGTACTTTGGCTGCTATGGGGTCCGTAAGATCGTGAGTGACATAATTCCCTGGTCGCCCGTGGCGTACGTCCCAGGGGTCGGTAGGGTGCTCGGGGCAGGATACGCAAGATGCTGCAAATATATTTTTGTTCATTTTCTGTGCACAGTTCCAAATACATTTTACATGAACAAATCAACAAGGGCCGTGATGAGGATTCGAACCTGCGTCCAGGAGCATCGCAGACAATGCCTTAATCGACTGAGCTACAACAGGGTAAAAGAGTTGAAACCGAAGTTCTACTGAACTTACTGGATCCCGTAGCCTCTCCAAGGCACAAACTAGGGTTTTATACAACTCCCCCCTGCATCCGAGGATCCAGTAAGTTCAGTAGAACTTCGGTTTCAACTCTCTTTACCCTGTCGTAGTTCAGTCGATTAAGGCAGTGTCTGGGATGCTCCTGGACGCAGGTTCGAATCCTCGTCACTGCCCTTGTGGATTTGTTCATTTGATGCATCACGTTAGTGTGATCT